ACAAATCAAGTAGAGCGAAAGCGGGAAATCAATCGAGCAAGAGAACAGCACAGGAAAGTTGTAGACACATCCACGCATGCACAAATTTAGCTTCTCTCATTGGCCACGGCTTACACCCCGTTCTCGCAGGTGTGAACGGAACTCCCGTATTTTATGCTGTTATGACTATGCCTCTATGCCCTTTAAGCCGGCGTCTGAACGCAACCATACAGGACAGTTCCGAAGACGCGTTACAGTCATCGAAAAACTAAGCCGCCATCTGAACGCAACCATACAGAACAGTTCTGAAGACACATTACAGTCATCGAAAAACTATGATTAACATGCTGAAACAATCAGCCTTCAGGCTACAACAGCTTCATGGCAAAACACAAAATACAGTTCCCGACTAGGTCGATCGCTCTTGGAGCTCAACACACTCAAGATACTCTTCATGATACACGCGACAATAAACTGTTACTTCGCGTACAGGCAGGGTTTATATGACTTTTGACCTGTCTTCGAGAACATTCTGTGATAAACATGTAAGAATTCGTTCTAGAAGGTTCTCCTTCCGTCTATGGCATACTGCCAATTTTGTCACCAAATCTGGCAACCCAACATTTCATTGGCATTCTCTGGCAACCCACCCTGCCAGGAAGCTTTCTTCCATGGCTGGGCATTTCACAATATGCTGTTTTCAGCTCCATATGAGATATAAATACCAAATTTGAGAAGTTTTAGTTTCATGTTTTCACAAAAGTCTGTTCAGAGCATCAAGTATTGCATCACTTCCAGTTTATCAATTTTAGCCAAAATCTAATATGTTTTTTCCATTAGTATAAAAGTTTTTAATACTAAATTGAAAAATTGTGAATTATATTTTAATATGATTAATACTCATTGAAAACTCACAATTTAATTTTCAGACCAAAAACATCACCTCTGTTATCTATGTATGTAGATTGGCAAGAGGTAAAAGTGGGTTTGAACAACTTTCCTTTATCTTTTATTACTTTCCCATGCATTTAGGCATTCTGGTCAGTAATATGTGTTCAATCACCAAGAACATGCGATAAAATATATGAATACGTATAATCGCTATTCAGAAAGCAATGAATTTTTTTTAAACTGAGATTGTTCTGTTGAAAAATTGTCTAAATGTGTTAATAGTATTCTAAAATGTGGAAAAGTAATGTTGTTTAACCATATTATGTTGCCACATTACATTTTGTTGAAACCTCTTAGCATTTGCTACTTAAAACCAGTGGTTCCTCAAAACTGGACTTCAATTAAAGAAAACAATAAAAAACAAAAGGCTGAATAACTAGAAATTACACCCTGAATGAAAATTTGCTTAACTGAATTTCTAGCCTCCATTATTATTTGTTACTTTAGAATAGTGGGAGGAAAAAGCAATTATGGGATTCAACCATCTGCCGCAATGGTCGTTACCACGGTTATGAGACAGAATGCTTTTGGGAAAAATGATTCTGAAATTAAAGTGAAACATTTTTTTTCAATCTCGTAAAATGTCCCGAGTATATAAGCGCAACAAATTGCTGTACAAAGTAGTCTCAGCTAACAACCAAACTAGTTTGAAGTACTGTTGACATAAATGAATTTCTACAGAATGTAACTTATAGTGCCACTATATGTGATAATAATCTCATAATAGACTTATTTAAAACATGAACGTAAATAGCAATCCTCTCTGGGCAAGCACAGGTCAATTTAATGAATGAGCCCAGTATAAGGCCTGGCTAAAATGTTAATTCGTTCGCTAACCAGTGGAGCAATCCTTACACTAAACGCCCTTTGTTTGAGAGTTTAGGAAGTTCTCTAAACTTTGTCAATCAGATGATTCCATTTTCTGTAATGGTTATATTTTTAACTGAAACACTCTGGAATTTATACAAGATAACAATGTGAAACATATTTTAATGCTTAGTTACATAACTGTAAAGGTTCATGACTTATTAAAATTAATTGGCAGCCAATAATTATAATGATGGCTGCACACATAATTCCTTCTTGAAGAGAACTTTCTAGTTCTTATGAATTATACGAAACTCATTAATACCCTGCTTATTTGATAAGTCATACATTGAAATGTAATATTTCTTATGAAACACTGATAACATCATTATGTATTAACTTAATTCTGAATTCTGTTGAAGTTACTGCTAATGGCTGTGATAATTTGGACAATTGCCAAAGTTATCTCTTGTATTATAACGTATTATTAAAGAGTATTATCTCTTGAAAAATCTATTTTTCTTCTTTATTTACATATCTTCTATGTACAATATTATTTACAAATAATGAATGATCCAATATGATTTTAAAGGTATATTCATTAAACACATTCCACTCAGGTGTTCTCATTAATATCCTACAATGCTACACTAGTTAATCCAAACTCCAAATGTCCTGCTTTGCTGGCTTTTCACATTCTCTTTTTCTGGCAGAAAAAGGAAGACTGACATTGGAGATACATGAGAGTAAGCATGCTAACTTATGAGCTCTGACAGAACTTAACTAATGCAGCTTTTTAGTATAAGAATTTAGATTTAATTAAATATATTTTTCACATGCAGAAAAATTATATTGCAAAAATAATTATAGGCTATAGAAAACAAATACATTAACAGACCCATTTAATTATGTTTATTTGAGAATGCTTACGTGAAAATGATTTACACTTTTATACAAGAAATAGGCCAACCTATAACTAAACACAACAAAATTTTTTCATTAGAAATACAAAGTTGACCATTTTCTACACATGTTGATACAAGCTCAGGAATCTGCAGTAAAACCTGTCAAGAAAAGGATCATTAAGCATCAATTATGGAGGCGGAGGCCTTGTTGTGAAATTTTTTTTCAGTTTATATTTCATGTAAAACAAATTTCAAAACGTACACATTTCGTTTCAAACAGATTTTACTACACATTTAAAACTTGAGCTATTACACATGAAAAATAAAACAGAAGTAATCAATAAAATTCTGTGCAAAAAATTTCTCGTACAATTCAATCAGATTTAATAAATTTAAGGTAAAAGTTTACAATTGGGTGCCCCTTGTTTTTTTCGAGATTCTTTTTTTTTTTTCAGGAAGGCACAATTTCAAGATAGCCACAATACAAAACCAAAATAAAAAGTTGAGCAATTGCACAAATTGTGTCCATGTATACATCAATCCATTTTCACTTAAAAAATCACAGAATTGCACAAACTCAGCACTGTATACTGCCTTAACTTTGTCCATGTACACATCAATCTATTTTCACTTACAATAAATCAGGAAGCTAAAACCAAGTTAAAACTATTATGGTACCCAGAAATGGGATTTCATCACCAAAATTGAACATATTTTGTCGCCAATCAAAGGAGGCACCCAATTCTACACTAAAAAGGCTCAAATAGTATAAAAAAACAGAATTATTCTTCATGCTTTCAGCATTACAAAATATTAAATGTTTATTATTATCTCAATGCTAAAATTTTATGCAAGTTCATAGAAATCACACAATTTATAAATCTACCAGTCTTTTTGCATCATATTAAAAAACCTATATCACGACAAATCACCCATTCTACATATTAAAAATTATTAAATAATTTAAAAACCCCATATAATATATAATTATATGGGAGAATAACAAATTAAATATTAATTCATGTATATTACATCCAATTTAAAATTTAACAAAAATGTCTATATATTATGTAAAATATTTTATTTGATTTGAAAGTTATTTTATTTGAAAATATCAAAATGAAACTATGCATTAAATTCAAAAAAGTTCTGTATTTATTTCTAAAGATTTGTGCAATGACATAAATTTATCATTTAGAATTTTTAGAAATTTAAGGGAATTTATTTTAATTTTTACATGTTCATAAACTAAAAATCTGTATGATTTTGAGTTACACACAAGGAATTAAAAATCTTTAAAATTCAGAAACATATAGCTGTAAATGCAAAGAATTTTTAATAAACTGAGTTAGGCAAAAAATGTCCTTTTTTTTTTGGTAAATTTTGAAATGCATTATTACACTGCAAAATTACTGTTACATCATAAAATATAACTTGAAAAACCTGAGAAAGATGGGTAAATTTTTGTTTGTATCTACTTTATATGCAGATATATAATAATTCTACTGATATTTCTAAATTACCCATCAGTTTTTTATAACAATATTTTTGTAAATATGTTCTTTTCTATTCACGTCGGGAAATTAGCTTCATGTTTGAAAATTATTAATTTAAATCCAAATTTTATGTGTTAGTTTCTCACAATTAAAAGAATTCACTCAAACATATGGAGGAGATGAATGCGTTCATACCCAAATTATTTCAGACTTTTTTAGGGAGGTTTAATTAATTTCCCTTGAACTGCAATAATTTACTTACTTTTTTATGTCTACCATTACAAATTTAATGTCCCACTAAAAGTTGAAAAATTACTGTTGCCTTAAAAAGTACTTAGAATCTTCTGAACGTTAGAGGTCATCTTCCAATAGTTGGAAAATCAAAACGCCGCTGTGCTTGTTGCCTAATATGTAATGTTGGGTTATGCAAAGAATACCTGTACCTGTTTACCCTGTACCATATGATGTAAAATCTATTTCATATAATAAAGTTTTCCAGAATAATAGGTGTGCTTATAGTAAGTCGATTGCTACGTGTGGGATATATGTATCCCTCCACTAACTATGGCTGGAACATATATGTCCCAGCGTTTGGCTTGAAAACGGTTCGTCCAAAAAAAAAAAAAAAAAAAAAAAATTCCCAAATGCTAGTTGCAACATGTACACATGACAGCAACCTGTCTAATATGGAATTCTGGTGCAGAATGATTTAGTTCTGATTTGTCTCATTCGTAAACTATAATTATGGTTCCTGAATTTGAAATCATTATTGGCTGAAATGTTACAAAAGCATCTGTATCGTGAGCACTATGCTGGAATCATATGCCATGAATTAATTTCGAAATGATGCAATTAACAGAGATTTATTACAAGTAATTATTTATTTTTAGGACGAGTGTAACAGGACTATTGCAAATTAAAGTCGTAATGTTGGTTTAGCTACTTATCTTACACACATATATATACAATTATTTAGAAGTTAACACAAGACATAACATGATTTATGAAGTGACAGAGTTCGACATGTAAAAGACGTAAACAGTTATAGTGGCCAATTTTAAACGGAGAAGCGCATTCCTGATCACATTTGTGCCTTTTTTACATCTTTTATAATAATTTCGATAGAGGAAATATTAGGCAACAAGCTAGCTAGTTGACAGTAGAGATGAATGCAATGTTTCTAAGATGAAAACCCAGTTCGAAAAGATGTAGCTCCAATTTGGTTAATTTTAAATTTCAGTTCCCTTATTTGAAATTATTATTAGCTAAAGTATTATGAAAGAATCAGGTGAAGAAGATTAATATAGAAATGCTACAGTCTAGAGATTTATTATAGGCAATTATGTATAGAACAGAAAGAGGAAATAACCAAATTAAAATTGGAAGTTAAGGAACAATTGCATATCAAAATTAAAATCTTGATTTATGCATTTTTTTAAATCTTATACACATAGATGCACATATATCTATATTAATTAAACTACAAAATGCTCATAAAAGAAATGATTAAACACTACAGATGTGGCACAATGATTACAAGCATGACTGCTAATAAAAAAATATCACAGAAAGAAGGTAATATTATTGAGAATATATATCATATGCAAGTGGATGAGTAAAAAATTTATCTTCATTTACAAAAAAAATTATTGCTTTTAAATTATACTGTTAGCATAACACGTGCGTAAATTCTGAAAAGCGGGCGTGACTTGAAGGTTTTCCATGGTAAATAACCTTAAAAATTAAAAGTGCAAGATTTTTTTAATATATAATGTTTTATTAAATTTAAATCTAATTTGTATTTATGCAAATTCAAACAGTTCAATCCTGTTTATATTCTGAACAAGATTACTGATCGTTTTGATTTAGTTTCATTCTCTTTAGCTACACATATAAAATAAGAACTGGCAACTAGGACAGAAAATCTATTTTCAACTAGTAAAATAATATGAATGATCTTTTTACTTCATACATCTTTTCATAATGCATTAAATACTTCTAACAGTAATAAACACTTTCTAATGGTAAATATTGTGATATTGGCAAAATTAACAATCCTATTTACAATGATATATTCATACACAATTATAAATAAAACAATAGTTTAGGTTACATACTCTCAGGTATACTTTTCCAAAATTTCTAAAACCATTGTTATTTAAGAAACCTTTAATATATAATATTTTTCATTTAGTTGCTATAAAACATTGCATAAAACATCTCCATTTTACAATGAAATGATTTCCATAAGTGCTATGCAGGGAGAAAAATCAACCTTTTAAATATTTTTTGTTACATTCAATAAAAATAAACTAGATAAAAGCACAGGAAATTTTTTAAATTACGTTAAATATGGTTTCTATCTCTTTCAAAAACATTAGTATACCTCTTTTAAGTGATATGATCTTTACTTTTTATTGCTATTTTTAAATAGTGAAAATAGAAGTTATTTTTTTCTTTATATATTCATGATGTTGGAACTTTCATAGTTCTTCAATGAGCATGATCATGGATGGTACATAATGCCAAGGTGATTCAGATGCAATTATTTTTCTTTTTTATGTGCACAGAGGAAGAACAACACAAAAAAATTACAATTTCCTAAAAAAAAAAAACTTTTTTTTTTATGTATCATACAATCTTTCTTTAATAATTAAAATTTAAACTTTTAAATTTTTGAAGTTTTTTAATACATTTATGATGTTTTCTGACAATAAATATTTATAGTTTGGTGATTTAAAAAAAAACTGTCACTGACTAGCACTCGATAAATTTTACCCTAAGAAGCATTTACTGAGGGAGGAAAAATTATAAAAGCAGTATGTACACTTTTACAGCAAGTAGAATAACAGCTGAACATAAAAGGGTAAATTAATAGGTACTCAAACATGCAAACATCATAGCCAATCCATGGATGTGCAAATTGCATGCACATCCATGGATTGGCTATTATCACATTTATATTAGAAAATACCTGCAAAACATGCTAAACGTACCGAGTGCTGAAATTAGGCATACGGATAATTAGAAAGTGCCAAAATAAGGTTTAAGAAAGCTTGTAGTTGTGCCTTGCAACACTATTCATTTTACATGATGGAGAGACTTCTTTCACTTCAAAAGCTGAGATATAATAAATTTTGAAGACTCATGATAAATGTGAGAATTCTGAAATAAGGCATGCAGCTTGAACTGCAACTACACATCAAAAAACACCTTAACCATATAGCTGATATTGATACATAAATTAGGAAATGAGGTAAGTGGTGAATTTATTTCAGATTAGCTTTCAAAATTCGATTGAACCTTAATTCAGTTTCTTTTTTACCACCAGTGTTTATAAAATTCAGGTTTGAAATCTGTATTTGAAAGAAACATGCTTGAATGACTTTTAGCATATAAGCCTATTTATTACATTCCCACATTTAGTCCATCAAAATACAAATATTTCAAAGAATAGTTCTTTTACACTTATACAGATGACACACAATGCTACTACAATTCAAAATTCATAGTCAGAGTGAAATTTTACATTATAATAAGGCTAAGAACAACACTGAAACTATTCTTTTTTACACATTGGTAACCACTTTGACAAAAATCAATTATCAGATTTCAGCTTGAAATTTTTCTTATACAAATATTATGAATATCCATAAGTTTTGACACAGAAGTTCTTTTGCAACTTAACATTAAATAATATGCTTAAAATAATAAGCATGGCAATTTATGAAAATGTTGCAGACAAATAATTTTCTGTGAGGACAAATATAAAATTATATTTACACAGTCTGGACAGCTCATATCATTTATGGATAACACGTTAAAAGACTTTTCATTCCGTAATTAAGTGTCGAGGTAAATTATATACATTTTTCCCATAGCAAAACAGATATCTGCTTGATCACCTTACAGGTTTTACACAATAAAATTTTAACAACTGTATGATAAATGCCACAGTACCAACAATTCATAACAAAGTTTTTAATATGTGAAAAAATCACTATGAAATCTCATACACAGCCACAAACACAAATATCTGATGCAATTCTATATAGTTTTGAAAAATGAAGTTATTTTTCCAACATCAACAGTAGCATGTGCATCTGATTAGCACACGTGCATAAAAAGAAATATCAATACATATTTTATATTCTTCAAACTTTACAGAGGAATTAATCGGTGGAAAATACAGCTGGAGAATAGTCTGATTCCTGACAAGCATTTCTACTAGTATAAAAAAAGAGAAAGTTATTCACACGTGTAAAATCGCATGAAAAATTTCACTCTTGAGACATATAATGTCCCAGCTGCGCATCAAGAGTCCCTTTAGTTTCAGCCATATACTCATCCAACTGATTGTCAAGTTCTTGCTTAGTTGGAAGACTGGCCTGAATCTTGCTATTCCAACGTCCTCGACCCCTTCCACGTCCTCTGTTACTCTTAGGAGGAAGATTTCTCTGGACCTGAAGACGACCACGAGACTGACGATTGCCTCCTCTGAAATTTCCTCTTCTATTCCGGAAACCTGATCGCTGGTTTGAAATGTAGTTATATCCCGATTTCGGTAAGCCCAATCTAGCTTTAATGAGAGGTGAAGTACCACGCTTGAAATTACCACGTCGCATTCCCTTTCCTCTGACCATCCCAAGACGACCCTTTATGGAACTATTATTTATCCGATTTCCACTTAAGTTTAACCTAGCTTTTATATTGCTTTTGGCGGCTTGTTGCTTTCGTCCAAGCCTCTGTTGCAAGCTTCGTTTCTTTAATCTTAAAGCAGCTATTACCGTTGGTCTATTGGCCATTTGCTGCGCTAACCTAAGATTTGCTGAGGTAGCCTGCCGTTGCATCTGAAATTTATGACGATAATTATCAATAGTTTGCGCTTGAGCACGATACGTAGTAAAACGTTCGTTCAAACTTATCTTCGTCGTGTTTTTCAAAACAATCTTCGTATTCAGTGCTGTAGCCATTGTTGAACTAAAATGTACCACAGAGATGAGAAATAATTATTCGCAACTTATTATAAACAAAAACTTAATATAACATTTTACTTACAAATATCACGGAAGATGCTAATTTAACACAGTAGAAAAGCTTACTATGGCTTCCAACCACCTTACTAGTATTGCCATTTATGGCGAAAGAAATATTTAAGCGAGAATATATACATAAAAAACTATCACCCCCTAGAAAATGTGAACAGTAATTTAGACAGTAATTTGTATTATTATGGAAATTAAAAGTAGAATATGTGAATAATTAAACTGTAATCGTAAATTAAAATGTGAAACTAAAGAATGAAGGAAGAGAATTATTATTCATTTGTTGGAAACGGTAATAGTTAAACGCGTTAGGCTCATATCACGCAGCGTTTATTTCACACGAGCAACTGTTTCGGACAATTTTTCTGACTTGTTTACTATTGAAAGAAAGACATGCTACTTTTTCCTTTCTTTCCAAAAAAAAAAAAAAAAAAAAAAAAAAAAATCTGAAATGAATCAGATTTTAAATTACGTCCAAAGGGGCGTTTTTTAACATTTTGTGTGTTACCTTTCTTTATTAAATATCATGTTCCTCGCACTTAAACCATAAGATCCAGTGCAACAGCAATATCGCAAAATAGTTTTAAAACGAGCATATCTTTAGAATTTCCGATACAGAGACTCACGCGCTGGAGATTAAGGCTCCTATATTACTTTAACTTTTTCCATAATTTTTGTATTTCAGGAACATGAAACTGTTATTTTGATATACTTAAATAATAAAAGTGTGTATCTGAATCAATTAATGGATACAAATATTTTACAGTTATTTTTAGAAGATATTTGCCATATCGCTTCTAATAATTCATAAAGTATGTTAAAATATAGGTAAATAATTTGGTGCAGAATTCAAATTTAGGGTTTAAAATATAGTGAATCATAAGACTAATGATTTTTATTGTCATGATTTGCCTGGGCTTAAGAATGTACTTTTCGCCCGGTGGAAATTGTCATCAAACTGTCCTGAACAGGCTTTTTGTTGATAATAACTTCCAGGCTTATCAGTACCTCCTTTTGAGTGGAGGGAGTGGAGGGTATGCAAATATAGTACCCAATTTAAATTACATTGTGATTGTAATAATATTGTGGTATGAAATAAGTGATTACAATTACAATTTAGGTAATTGCATTGTAATTATATTACATTGTATCTGTGAACCCTTAATTTCATTACTTTATGCAATTATGTTGTAAGTGCATAATCTAATTGCAATAATATAATCTATTCGCAATTACAAAATAATTATAAATGCAGTTACATCTTAAATAGAGGCCATTTTAATACTTTTAAATTTTCGCAAGATAACTTCCCATTAAGGTTCATTTGGAGGAAACTATGCAAATATTAAAAAAGAAGTTATGCTAAATTTACATATTTGTACAGTAACTTTCTTGTTATAATGCTGTTCAATATATCTTCAATACTTTTGTAAATTTAACGACTTTCTTTGCAATCACTGTGGTGCTTTAAAAGAAGTTTCTTAGTTATGCTTTCTAATAAGAATGGGTTTAAAAATTAAGTATTATGTATAATAACTAGCAGTTAAAAAAAAAAAACTTGACTGCATGAAAATGCTGTTGCTGTGTAAAAAAAAAAAAAAAAAGCTTTTCTTTTATGCTTTGAAATGAATTACATGTGGTTAAGTCGTCCTTTTACAATTTAAGAATGTGGTTAACCCACATTCTTAAATTGGACAGGTTTTATCTAAATTATTAGTATAAAATATATAAACTATGAATTATTTTGTAACAAACTCAAATTACAAAATTCATTCTATATACGTTCAAAGTTATTATCTTTTATGGAATAACTGTTTTTTTTTAATTTAGGTAAAAACTGGATTTTTAGAAGTATTACAAATACAATGCAACACAAAGGTGATTGATTGAAGAGGAAGGACTTTTTATTACGGTTTCTAGTTCGTATTTATATTACATTTGATGAAAAGCATCCAAAACACAGAATGCTGTACTTTCTTTCTTCCATATTATGTTATGAAATATTTCACACATTTAAAAGAAAGTGTTTCTTCAGAATCTTGCACAATTATTTCCATGTACCTCAGACTTAAATGACAAACATATTCTTAAGTTATTTTTTTAGTATGAATTTACAGTGTTTTTATGGAAATTTTGTTAAAATGTCATTAAGATAATTTATTTGCACACTCTACGCTTTAACTATTTCCCCATTTGACACTATTGAAAGTTTTTTATTCATATCTTATTTATTATTATAGTCTGCTAACGAAACTGAAACATCTAAAGAATAAGTTATTTTGAATATGTTTACAAAATATACGCGAAATTTTTATTTAAGTGAAAACGTCTGTATACTATTCGAGAATTAATAAATTATCCGAAAAGTTTATATGCGCTGAATACCGCGCGTCTATAAAATAAATCTTTAAAAAAACAGCAGACATTCAGCCAGCGTGTGCGATAAACGCGCCAAAATTGGCAGCGCGTTCACTCCCTCGCCAAGAGAGAAACGTTGGTGATTCAGCCTGGTTTAGAGGAGCCTTACTGGAGATAAAAATGTTTTTTCTGCACAACGTTGCCATTGCTCGCTTTGAAATCCTTAAGTTTGTTAATCAAAAATTCGTCAAAGTTTTAAAAAATAGGAAATCGATCATAAAACAAATTTCAAATTTCAAATTGGGTCTTCCACATGCTCATATTCGTTGGAGGATTACGTTATTCAAAATTCGATGACTCTATGTACCGTTATTTTTGACAATGTGAGAAATATACATACATTTACGCAGATTTTCATTATTTAATTTCTTCAAATATAATGCAGGACTCTAACATTTTATGGCAACAGTTTGAAAAGTGAACCGACATTTATCCGTCCGACGCAAAATGGCAAAACGAAACTAATAGTCCTTCGGGACTCAAATCCCTTTGGACTAAAAAAAAAATGCTTCCTTGTTCGCTTTCAACCAATCAGCTTCGAATGCTCTCAGCTTGTTTGTAATGGGGAACCAGTTTCCCCTGCTTTAAACAAGCGCGTGGCCCAAAGCCAACTAGATATCTACTAGTTATCTATCTTTGTTGAGTTAGTTATCTATCTTTGTTGAGTTAGTTATCCTACATGTTATATCTAGTTATCTATCTTTGATATCTAGTATCTCCTCTGGGTGCTAAATATCGTATTGAAACATTGGTTTCCCGACCATCTGGAAGTTTAACGCAAGCGTAAATCTGGGTTAGCCTCAATGAGCTGTACTTCCTGCACAATAAGCTAATATTTATTAGCTCGTGTATGGTTCTTCATTAATACCGTTCCGGGTTGTGTTAACCACGTAAGTAAAGAACGTCAATTATACGATCTTCTAGCATGGATGAGCATACCTTCTTGTGGTGTGGCATTTGTTGCTGTACATAAGAGTGACCGAATCGAATGCAGAACGCCTTCCCAAAGTTCGATAGCCATGTTCTTTGATTTTAATGTCAGCTGGATGGTTTTCCATATGATTCCATAATACCTCTCTACTTGGCTATTTCCTTGAGGATTATATGCAGTTGTGCGACTTGCTGCTATACTAAGTGAAGTTAAGAAGCATTTTAATTCACGAGACATAAATGAAGATCCACTATCAGAATGTATATGGGCTGGCCTCCCAAAAATTGAGAAAATATTTTTCCGGTGAGCCAAAACAGTAGCAAATGACATATCAGAGCAAGCTATTGCAAAAGGGAATCTTGAAAACACGTCCACAATAGTAAGAAGGAAATGGTTTTTGGAAGCCGTAGGCAAAGGACTTTGAAATCTAGATTTAGTCTTTCAAAAGGTGCAGTTGCTTTAATTAAATGTCCTTCAGATCTATAGAAACCAGGTTTTACTTTACTGCAGCATACACAGGAATTAACAGTTCTTCTAATTTCTTGTAGTGAGAAAGGCAAATTTTTAGATCTTACCCAGTGATGCATTCGAGTAATTCCGGGATGACAAAGTTTATCATGTAGAGCCTTTAAATCTATTTGCAGTTTTATAGCTGTATTTATTCTTGATAAAGTGTCTGTAATTTCATTTTTATTTCCAGGGCGATATATAATATCAAATTTGAAACAAGCAAGTTCTAACCGCCAACACATAATTTTATCATTTTTAATTTTACTGGAGTGCTGTTGATCAAACATAAATGCCACGGATCTTTGATCGGTAAAAACTTCGACGTGTCTTCCAATTAAATAGTGTCTCCAGTTTTGTAAAGATTCAACAATAGCGTATGCTTCTTTTTCAATAGAAGAACATTGTCGTTCGGAAGAGTTTAATGTTCTAGAGAAAAAAGCTATAGGGAGACCAGCTTGACTCAGGGTTGCTCCTATTGCAAATTCAGAAGCGTCAGTTTCAACTCTGAATGGTATATTATTTTCATTTGCAGCTAAAGAAGCTTTGGATATATCTCTCTTAAGGGAACTGAAGGCTTTCTCAGCATCTTTACTAAGGGTAAAGATGCTGAGAAAGCCCCTTAGTAAAGATGCTGAGAAAGCTTTCAGTTTTATTATATCATTAGCTATAGAGTAGCCTAACAATTTTACAGATTTCATGGAAAATGTGCATTTTTCCTCTTTCAGGGTTAGCTTATACTTTTTAGCAGCAGCCATAAACCTCTCCAAGTTATTATTATGCTCAGCTTCATTCTTGCCACATATAGTTACATCATCAATTGGTCTTTGGAAAGAAGCAACTCCATTTGATACATCAAATGGAACACGTAGAAATTGATAGAGTTTACCATCAGCTTCAAACGCTGTATAGTGTTTCTCTGATTCTTTGATAGGAACCTAATGATAATCACTTCTGAGATCAATTGTACTAAATATTTTATATTTCGATACTTGAGAAATCAACTCTTCAATTTTGGAAAGAGGGTAAGCATCAAGCATAGTAAATTTGTTTATAGTCTGCGAATAATCTATTACCATTTTGGGTCTATGAAGTTCTCCTTTCACAACAAAAGCTTTTGCACGCCAAGGAGAATTACTTGGTTCAATTAGACCTTCTTTAAGTAATTTACATACTTCTGTAGCTATGAATGTTCTATCTTCTTCAGTTTGGCGTCTTGACTTTGTAACAA